AACTTGGTGTCAGGCTCACTATTGAACAAACATGGATTCCGCATGGTGTTCGAGTCTGATAAGCTGATCTTGAGCAAAAAGGGAATATTCATAGGCAAAGGTTATATTTCTGATGGGCTTTTTAAGCTTAATGTACTCACTGTTGTTGAGAAAATTAATAAAACTCCTGTTGCCTATGTTTGTGAGTCCTCCAGTGTGTGGCATGGAAGACTAGGACATGTTAATTATGCATCTCTTCAGAAATTAATTAACATGGAATATATCCCTAAGTTTGACATCGACCAGTCCCACAAATGTGAGACGTGTGTCGAAGCAAAGTCAACGCGAAGTTCGTTTCAAATGATTGAGCGAACCACTCAGCCACTGGATTTAATTCACATGGATCTGTGTGATTTCAAATCAACGCCTTCAAGAGGTGGTAACAAATATGTTATCACTTTTGTCAATGATAGCACGAAGTATTGCTACATTTATTTACTTAAAAGTAAAGATGAGGCGTTGGACACTTTCATTCGGTATAAGAATTAAGTAGAAAAGCAACTCAATCGCAAAATTAAAGCGATTAGGAGTGATAGGGGCGGGGAGTACGAAGCTCCATTTGCCGAATTGTGTGCACAACATGGAATTGTGCATCAGGTAACTCCGCCATACACACCACAATCAAACGGTGTGGCGGAACGGAAAAATCGCACTCTCAAAGATATGATGAATGCGATGTTGCTTAGTTCGGGGCTACCCCAAAATATGTGGGGGGAGGCTATTTTATCTAGCAATTATTTGTTAAATAAAATACCCCGAAAGAAACTCGATAAGACTCCTTACGAGTTGTGGTATAATAGGAAACCTTCCTATAAATACCTGAAAGTGTGGGGGTGCCTTGCAAAAGTTTTAGCACCACCACCAAAGAAAATAAAGATTGGTCCAAAGACCGTTGATGCAATCTTTATTGGCTACAGTAGCAGCGCGTATCGATTCTTAGTGTATAGGTCTGATAATCCAGAAATACATAAGAACACGATAATGGAATCGAGGAATGCAACCTTCTTCGAAAAGATATTTCCGTTAAAGTCGAGGGAAGAAACAAGTTCTTCCAAACGTTCACATGATGAAATGTTGAATGATGGTTCCTCGGATCAGTCCAATACCGGTATAATTGATGAAACCGAAACTGAGACTGAACTAAGACGAAGTAAAAGGACACGGACTCAGAAGTCCTTTGGTAATGATTTTCTAACTTATTTGTTGGAATTTGAATCGGGGACTCTATCATTTTTGATAGAGACTGAACCCGATATTCTAACATGTTTATTAGAAAATGAACCACGAACTTATCGTGAAGCAGTGACTTCGTCTGAAGGCCCTCAGTGGAAAGAGGCAATTAAAAGTGAAGTTGATTCTATTATGCAGAATCACACTTGGGAGTTAGTGAATCTACCTCCTGGATGCAAAC